CATGCACAATATTGTATGTACGGTTCATTCGAGGAAATGTACAATATTGTATGTACAGTTCATTCAAGGAAATGCACGATATTGTATGTATGGTTCATTCACAAGAGTTCCAATTAAAATCATTCGGGTCATATTCTTTTTTCAATCGATTAAAAACATTCGGGTGTGCCCGGTGTTCACACCACCCTTCCTCCTCTCGCGTGCAACACGTTAGGATTGCAAATCGGTTAAAAACATTCGGGTGCACCCGGTGTTCACACCACCCTTCCTCCTCTCGCGTACAACGCGTTAGGATTGCAAATCGTTTAAAAACATTTGGGTGCGCCCGGTGTTCACACCACTCTTCCTCCTCTCGCATGCAACGCGTTAGGATTACAAATTGGTTAAAAACATTCAGATACGCCCGATGTTCACACCACCCTTCATCCTCTCGCGTGAGATGCGTTAGGATTGCAAATCAATTAAAAAAATTCGGGTGCGTCCGGTATTCACACCACCCTTCTTCCTCTCGCGTGCAATGCGCTAGGATTTCAAATCGGTTAAAAACATTCGAGTGCGCCCGGTGTTCACACGGCATTTCCTCCTCTTGCGTGAGACGCGTTAGGATTGCAAATCGGTTAAAAACATCCGGGTGCGCCCGGTGTTCTCACCACCCTTCCTCCTAACGCGTTAGGATTTCAAATCGGTTAAAAATATTCGAGTGCACCCGGTGTTCACATCACCTTTCCTCCTCTCGCGTGCAACGCGTTAGGATTTCAAATCGGTTAAAAATATTCGGGTGCGCCCGGTGTTCACACCACCCTTCCTCCTCTCGCGTGCAACGCGTTAGGATTTCAAATAGATTAAAAACATTTGGGTGCGTCCGGTGTTCACACCACCCTTCCTCCTCTCATGTGCAACACGTTAGCATTGCAAATCGGTTAAAAACATTCAAGTGCACCCGGTGTTCACACCACCCTTTCTCCTCTCACATGCATCGCGTTGGGATTGCAAATCGGTTAAAAATATTCGGGTGCACCCGGTGTTCACACCACCATTTCCTCATCGCGCGTGCAACGCGTTAGGATATTGGTTGAGACCCCGGGTGCGCCCGATGGTTACGTCACCCTTCGCCTTTTCTGCACAATGCGTAGCTTAGCCTACATAATTTTCTTACATCCTTTCTGCATGAATGTGGTTTGGCTCGTGATTCCCATACGTGGCGTGTTTATTTACTTCCTTTTATGTTTGGAATTGATGTACCTTGTTTCGTTTTGTTTAAATGTGGCATTTTCTTTGCATTGCATTTGCATTCAAATGTTTCATTGCACAACCTCATTGCATGATCATAATTTATGTTCTTGCATCATGTATCTTGTTTGCATTTTGCCCCAGAACTACGCTAGTTTGATTCCTTGCAAAGGGATACGTAGCCAGCCTGCGAGCACAACCATTTATTTTCTGTCTTGTTTTTTTGTCCAAGTCTTTTGGTCATGTCAAAATGGGTCGTCTTCGGGCTTTGACATTCACTCATGTCATTTCATGACTTCTGAGTTCTGTCAAAGAGGGGCAACTGTAGACATCCCATTTTTTACAGTCCCCAAGACTTGGATGTCACCGCTTGTGCACTCGATGATTATGACTCTTTGTGCTCGTTTTAGTGCCTGAAGTCCTCGGCGGAATGCCTTGTCTTTGAGCATTAAAACCCCATCTATTCTATTCCCTATTTTGGACCAAAACTTTCAAGCCTGCATCCCCTGGTGGCTGCCGGCCACTAAATGAGATTGTCGGCCACCAATTGAGGCTACCGGCCATCCAAGTGGCCTGCCAACTGGTGATAGCTGTGCCAGTTTTTACCACAATTGCCTATAAATTCATACACGTGTATGGATGGATTTATCACAGCCAAATGCATGTTTTTCTATATATATGAGGTTTTCTCCCCAATTTTTGAGGGTTAAAAAATTTGGAACAAAAATCTCTCTCTCCCTCTACTTTTCTCTCTCTCTCTCTCTCTCTCTCTTGCCAATTTGTGCATTTTAGCCTACACATACTACAATTTTGCCTACACCTCCTTAACCAAAGTTGATCATCTTTGAGCTGAGGTTTCTTGAAGCCTTCTTGGAGCTCTTGAAGTTGGTTTTGGCTTGAATTAGTGCGTAAATTTGATCTTTGCTTCAAGAGGTATACTACTTCCCTTTTAAGCTTGTTTTGCATACTTATTTTTATATCTCTTTCCACTATTGTTGGGCTGTTTTTGGACCATAAAAAACTCTGGTTTTGTGGGCTAAAATTGGTGTTTTAGGCCATTTAAGGTTACGGGGGTATCTCACCCTTCTTTATTCCTTGTTTGTAAGGCTTTTCCACTTTTGTTTCCCACCTTCAAACTATCTTTTTTTGGGCTTTTGAAAACTAAATTTCAGAGTGTTTTCAATAGTAAAAATCATGTTTTGAAGTCCAAAATTTGAAGGGTTAGCCTCCTCTCCTTGTGTCTAGTTTGCTAGCCTAGTTAACTCTATATGTTAGCATGATGGTTCCTTAGCCATCATGCAATGAAATTGTTCAATTGATGGTTTGAGGACCAAGTGTATTACTCCATTGAGATGTTTTGATGATAAGAAGGGATACATAGTACAAACAACCTGTGAGAATACCCTCTCTTTGTCGTGTTTGCTCTCTCTGTTGTAGCAAAAAAGGTGTGTCATTAGTGGCCTGCCGACCACCAGTGTTGGACGGCAAACCCTCAATGGTGACCAGCCGGCCACCACTTCTGGCCTGCCGGACACCAGTGAATTTCGGGCAGTATGCTTGTGAAGCATGGCAGAGTTGATATGGAGAAAGAAACAGTGCAAGGGTTGTGCAAATAGAGGCTTTCGAGGGCAGATAGTGGATGTTCTTCGGGTGAAAACTGAGCATGCATGGGCCTCTCTCACTTCCCGAGACTAGTTAACTAGTTAATTAGTTTAATTAGCAATTAATCTTTTATTTTTTGTAATTAATTAGTTGTAGCTAATAAGTTTGTGTTATAATATTTAATTAGATTAACTAGTTGTAGCTAATTAGTTTGTGATGTAATATTTAATTAACTTAGCCTAGTTAAATTCTTAATTAATTAGCTTAGATAGTTAGTTAGTTAGTTATTCATTCAAGTTTTGTAATAATTAGCTTAATTAGCTTAGCTTAGTTAGCTAGTTAGCTTAATTCATTCGGACTCTCCTTCGTAAGAGCATAATGTAATAATGTGTATGTCTTCCAACCCCACGTCTTTCTCCCTTTTATTTATCCGCTTTTGATGGTTAGATTAGGGACATGTTTCAATTAGCATACCTTACGCTTGCATCCATTCATCTTGTATTGCATGCACTGAGGCTCTGCGCATCATTCAAACTACATTGTCATTTCAATACTTCTTTAAATACGTGTTTAGACTGCATGCTATTTAATTGATTCATATGCCACAGTAGTAGCTGAGCCTATTGTAATTGCATATCGCATGTATTGCATTAAACATTTTGTTTAGTTAGGAATCATGCATTTTTCTAACGTATATCTTCTTAGCTTGGAGTACTAGGTGAGTTTTAATGCTTTAGCATACTTGCATGAGTGTGAGTGACTGCCATGACTAGCATGCTTGCCATAAGGCTAAATGCTTACTTGTTAAACTGCTTGAATGCCTGTAGATAAAGGTTTGTTGCTTGAATTGGAATAATTTAATGAATGTATGTTTAAGCCCACTTTGTTAAATGGCAAATTCACAAACTTTAAGCCCACTTGAGGTGGCAAAATCAAACACTTTTCGCAAAACAAACATGAAATTGAATTGTTCCAATTTGAGTAAACTAGTCTATACTTGTGTGCACATCACATAGTAAATGCTAGCCTAATAACCTGAACAACAGCATATAATATACATAAAAATCATATCATGATTAGTAGAGGCCAATCTTTGATTAGGCGAGCAGGGGTGCTCAATTCATGGCATTCCCCTCTCGTACCTAAGTTCCCAAGCTGAGGCAACTTTGGTGATGACGGACACGTGACCTTCGGCACGAGTCATGGGTTTCCTAAATTTTTCCAAAATAAAATATTTAGGTAGCAACTCTGTATCTGGCAAAGCAGTCCAATTTTGACATTTTTGATTCAGAAATCAATTTTCCAAACGATTTATCAGATTTGGACTCTTTGGTGTTTATCAATTTCACATTACACTTGTGAGATTAGATTCAGAACCACGGGAGTCCAAATTATAGGGCCTCTTTCGAGCTTCCGAAAGAGGGCGCAAAAAAGTCGAGCTACATAGGGGAATGGCTCTCCAAAATTTTCTGAGTAAACACTTGTATTTCGCCCCCATTCACCAGGTGAGTAAACCTGCCACAGATTCTGGAACACACCATTGAATTCCCATTCATGAAGCACAGATGACCAACTAGTCCAAGAAAAAGTGCAATGAAGCAACACATGATGAACAGATTCAAGAGCTGATTTGCGAAATATGCAAGAGGTGGAATAGTTATTACCAAGAATGCCAAGTTTGTACAAGAATTCAGCTGTTTTAATTCTGTTTTTCCAGGCCATCCAACCAAAGAAGTGGACTTTGGGGGGTAAGGTGGTGCTCCCGATAAACTTGCTAATGCTAAGAGGAGGTCCAAGAAGAGAAGTGCTAAAGAATATAAAGAAGACACAGAGAAAGAACCCGAACTAGTAGCCCAAACCAGACTGTCAACACTGTCTCGACTTAATAGAGGAGCAGAGGATAATAAAGCAATCAATCTGACTTTATCAAACAATTCCCAAGCATACAAAATTCTTCTATATAAGAAGTTCTAATCACTAGAACTAGTTTTCATAGCATTAAAGTGGTGAAGAGAACCATTCTTAGCAGAAGAGAGGATGAATAGAGAAAGGAACTTATCCTTGAAGGAAGTGACTCCACATCACTTATCATGCTAAAATCTAATTCTACGGCCATCTCCCACCTTGATTAGGCAGTTATCCAACAAGAAGTTGAAAATGTTCCTACTCTAAACCCCAATGAAAATAATATCCTTCCACACCCTAGAATGCTTGTAAGAAGATTTCACAAGAGGATGCCAACAGTCTACCTCTACCTTGTATTTACTGCAAATAACTCTCCTCCATAGTGCATTAGTTTGATTTCCAAATTTCCACCACCATCTGAGAAGCAAACATGCATTAACATCCTTAATCCTCCTAATTCCCAAACCCCCTTGGGCAACACTCTTTGTTACTTCTAACCATTTCACCAAATGAACTTTTCTTTTTAGATCATTACCACTCCACAGGAAAGCAGGCTCAATTTTCTCAAAGTCATGAGCCACACCTTCAGGCATCCTAAAGAAAGAAAGATAGTACACAAGTAGACTTGATAAGACAGACTTGATTAGAGTTAATCTTCCAACAAAGGGTAACATTTTCCTCATCCATCCTAATAATCTTGCTCTAACATTGTCAATCACAGGTTTCCAAGTTGATTTTCTATCTGGGTTGGCACCTAAAGGCAACCCCAAAAAATTCAACGATAAGTTAAGTACCTTGCAATTCAAGAGGTTCGCAAAAGTATGCAGTGACTCATCCACCACACAAACTTCACATGCAACACTTTTGTGGTAATTGATTCTCAGCCCGGATAGAACTTGAAAGCATCTAAGGGTTCTTTTGATAATAACCACCTGTCCAAATCTGCTTCACAGAAAAGAATAGAGTCGTCAGCAAATTGAAGATGTGAAACAAGGATCTCATTAGCGCCAACCAATACTCCTTAAGAATACCAAGATTAAGTGCTCTGGTAAGGAGAATATTGAGCCCTTCAGCCACAATATTGAATAGGAATGGTGATAATGGGTCTCCTTGCCTAAGGTGTAGATACCCCATTTTTTACCACCCTTACGACTTGGACGTCAACAATTGCACACCCAATGATGAGTGTATATGCTTGTTAAGTGCTCGTAGGCCTCAGCGGAATACACACCTATTGCCTTATTTTTGGACCAAAACCAGAGTTTTTCAAGCCTGCAACCTCTTGTAGCCTGCCAACCCCTTCTATTAGCTGTCGGCCACTACTTCTGGTTGTCGGCCATTGATGTGGCCTACCGGCCACAAGTGTGTTTTGCAGATATTTTTCTACCAACTATGCCAGCTGTTGGCACAGATGCACGCACCTTCTTACACGTGTATATATTGATATTTCTGAAAGAGTTTCATTGTTTTCTATATATAGGAAGCCTCCCCTTCCATTTCCAAGGTTGGAATTTTTAGAGCAAAAATTCTCTCTCGCTCCCTCTCTCTCTCTACAATTCTCTCTCACTCTCTTGCAATTTCTTAGCTTTTTGCAAGCTTTTGGCTATACACTCAAACCAAACCTTACCATCTTTGAGTTAAGGTACCTTTGAGCCTAGTTTGAGCTCTTAAGGGTGTGTTTGCCTTAATTTGTTACCTAGAATTGGTTCTCCTCTTCGAGAGGTATAAAGCTTTGCTTCTGTTCTTGCTTTATTTACTCTTTTTCTTACTGTTTTCCCATTGTTTTTTGGTTGTATAAACTTTTTATTTTTGGGCTGAAACTTGTGGTTTATAGCCAAAAAGGGTTGAGGGGTGGTTCACCCTTCTTTACACCTTGCTGTCAAGGCCTTTACCCTTGGGTTTCCCACAGATACACTATCTTCTTTTGAGATTTTAAACACTGATTTTTAGAGTTATTTCAGTGGCCAAAATATTGTTTTGAAGTCCAAAATTGGAGGGGTTAGCCTTCCCTCCTCGTGTCTTCTTTACTAGCTTGCATAGCTCTATGTTTCCTCTTATTATTCTAGCTATTTTTGTCTTAATTATAGCATGTTTTAGGACTATTTTTAGTGGTTCATTGCATTTGAGCCTTGTATTGCATGCTTGTAGTGCAATTGTCCTCATAGGTTTAGTAGTTTAGGCCTTAGCCACCATCCTATTTGAGTTGATAACATTTATTTCATGCTTTCCTTACTTGTGATCACCTTTAATCATTTCTGCAACCTCCCTCCTTTCTTGGCTTTTGCTTTGCTTTGAAAGTTGGTTTAAACTAATTGCTTGTTTAAAGCTTGAGATTGAGGTATTGTGCTCAATGGTTTAATCCCTTTAGGGGTTCATTACCAATGGCATGACATTTCTCTCATGCTTAAAACAACTCTTGGTTTGATGCTTCTTTCCATTAGAGGACTTGAAGCTCACTCTTGGACTTAATTGACTAAGGAATGGTTGGTAATTAAAATGGAGTAATAAAATGAGGATTAAAAGTGATGCAAGATAATAATCAACTTGGGTTCAATCGGACGTTAATTGAACCCATTGAGTCTTGAGTCGTTTCATACTTGTTAGTGATGTAAACGGTTTAAGAGTCAATATCAACCACTTCCCTTGATCAATCCATGATAGAGAGGGGGTTTGAGAGTCTTTATTTGTTGCATTCATTGAATTTGCACACTTTTGGTTCATAAGCCATCATGCAATGAAATTGCATCCGTTGATGGTTTGTGAATCAAATTTTGTCACTCCTTTGAGCTGCTGTTTGATGACAAGGAAGGGTGAGGTGTGCAAACAACCCTTGAGAGTACCCTGCTCTTGCTCTGTTTGCGCTCTATTGCAGCAGAAAGAACCAAGCAACAGTGGTCAGCATGCCACCATTAGTGGATGGCAGGCCATCACTTCTAGCCTGCCAGCCACCTGTGCAAAATCCAGCAATGTACTTTTGAAGCAAAACATAATTAGTCTTGAAGTGGAAGGCAGTGTAAGTGTTCTACTGTGCAACAGAGGTATCTAGCAGCAGAACAATGGCCTTCTTCGGGTAGAAATGCACCCATGCATGACATAGTGCACATCACATAGTAAGTAGAGGCCAACCTTTGATCGGGCGAGTGGGGGTGCTCAATTCATGACATTCCCCTCTCATACCTAAGTTCCCGAGCCGAGACAATCTTGGTGATGACGGACACATGGCCTTTGGCACGAGTCATAGGTTTCCTAAATTTTTCAAAAATATTTAGGTAGTGACTCTGTATCTAGCAAAATAGTCCATTTTTGGCATTTTGATTCAAAATCGATTTTTCAAAAGATTTGCCGGATTTGGACTCTTTAGTGTTTATCTATTTCACATTGCACTTATGAGATCAAATTCAGAACCGCGGGAGTTCGATACTATAGGGCCTATTCGTCTTCCGAAATAGGGCACGAAAAGTCGAGCTACATAAGGCCTCTTTGCGAAGAGAACTCAATAGTTCGTGATCCATTCACTAGTATGGAGATTCAGGTTGATGACACACAAACTTTTATCCAAGAGATCCATTTAGACCCAAAACCGCAGTTGGACATCATGGAGAACAAGAATTCCCAATTTACTGAATCAAAGGCTTTCTCAAAGTCTAACTTGATAATCAGCCCTTGCCGTTCAGCCTTCTTCCAGCCGTCAACTACTTCATTGGCAATAAACACCCCATCTATGATATTCCTTCCTCCTATAAAAGTTTTCTGAGTCTCGCTAATAATTAAGGGCATCACTGGCTTTAACTTGTGCACAAGGACTTTTGCCAAAAAAAATTTATAGGGAACCAACCAGGCTAATAGGTCTATAATCAGTCAAATTAATGGGATTTTCGAGTTTGGGAATGAGGGTAATGAAAGAGTTGTTGATACCATAGGTGAGCCTGCTGTGATTGTGAAAATTTCTAAAGAATTGCATGATCTCCTGCTTCATAACTTTCCAAAATTTTTGATAGCACAACAAGTTAAACCCATATGGGCCTGGAGCTTTGTTACCATTACTCTCTTTAATGGCTACCAAAACCTTTACTTCAGTGAAATCAGATACCAGGTGGTGAGAGATCGAATTATCCTCAATTGATTTGAACTCCCCACCCAAAACAGGCCTATTCACCCGACTTTCCTTGAACTGATTCCTGAAGTGAAGGAAAACCTCATGCTTGACTCTGTTAGGTTCCTCATAGGACACCCCATTGACTGAAATGGAATTGATCATATTTCTACTTTGTCTAGTACTTACAATAGCATGAAAATACCCAGTATTTTTTGTCTCCCTACAGGGACCAATTCAATCTAGATTGTTGATGCCATAACCACTCCACCCTTTTGTGGAGTTTCCACACTTCACCTCTAACCTCCTTTCTTCTAACCTTTTCTGAATCAAGCAGTTCTCTTGCCTCAGCAGAGATGTCTAATGCATGCAATTCATCCTCTGAAGCCTTGAGGTCAAAGGAGACATTGCCAAACACTTTAGTATTCCATTTCTTTAATTCCAACTTTAGTTGCTTTAGTTTTTGTTGGATTATAAACCCAGCCCAACCCACAAAATTAGCATTCTTCCAACAAGTGGTAAAAAGATGAGAAAAATTGGGATGTAAAGTCCAAGCATAGATAAATCTGAAGGGTTTGGGACCCCAATCTCTTTCATCTTCCATCATCAATAAAGGGCAATGATCTGAAATAAGTCGAGGCAATCCCCAAAGCTTCATATTGAAATGAATCATCCACTCAGGGCTTAGCAAGACCCTATCAATTCTGCTCCACTTCTATGCCTCCTGAGCATTACACCAAGTATATTTTCTACCATAAAGAGGTAGGTCATTTAGTTCACAATTATCTATAAACTCATTAAATTGTTTCATACCCTTATCCCTTCTAGAATAGTTACTCTCTCTCTCTCATATGCCTTATCTCATTGAAATCACCTCCCAAGCACCATGGCAAAGGGAAAAAGACCTTGAGGTTAAGTAGAGTATTCCAAAAAGAGGATCTCCTGCTAACATCATTAGGTGCATATATATTAAGAAAAACACAATGAAAATAGTTGTATAATGTACTCGAGAGTAAAATGAGCCTCCTGTTGCAGCAGCTGCCAATAAATTGGAAAACACCTAGATCCCAGATGCACAGAAGCCCTCCTGCAAATCCTTTAAGCTCCATAGACAATAACTCCATATTCCTATGGCCCCAAAGACCTCTAGCCACAGTGCCTGAAACCACTACCTTCTTAGTTTCTTGAAAGAATGCAACATCAATGTGCTTATCTTTTAGTAGCTTTTTAATTCGACCCCTCTTCTCAGGCTTACCAATACCCCTAACATTCCAAGACAAAAGCTTCATGGAGAAACAAATTAACACACTATAAATCCCCCAGCTACAGTTATTATAGCTTAGCCTTACCATCCTTGATGATTCTCTCTTTGTCCTTGAGCTCCAGATTAATGATCTTATCTATCATAACATCTTCCTTCCCTCGGAAGTTTATTCCAAGAATTTTCCCCAGTTGAACAGTAGCTTTAGCCTCATTGAGGAGATAGCTATGTGAGCTTGAATCACCCTCGGAGAGATCTGATTGTGCAAGAGCAGCTGCTGCTGGTCTGAAAATAACAAATTTGGAGGTATGTTTACTGATAACTACTGCTTTGTGGCCATAAAGTCTTGCAAAGCAAGAGAAGCCCTCCATCTAAGCTCTCTTTTTCCCTGTTTTCTTGGCATTCCGCAGGGGGTTGAGGCTGATAGTAGGTGGTCTAACTTGGCCTTGATCTTGTATGCTCAGAATACCCGAACCATTTATAACAATATTTGTATATGGCTCAAGGGATTTAAAAAGAAAAAGAGACTGGCACCCAGGCAGCAAGCAATTACTGTTGGGCCTGATACTCTATGGTTTGTGTGGCATATTAATAGGACCTTGAACTAACTGCTCACCACGTGGGTGGACCAAGTCCACCTCAAGATTAATGCCAGGCCCAAGGCCCTCTTTTAGTCCACTAAGACTTTTGAAAAAGCCAGGTGTTAAAGCTTGCTCAACACACTTCTCAGAATTATCATTGCTCTTTGGATGGGGTGCACGCTCCTCCATCATTATTTCTTTCACGCCTAGAGAGAGAGAGAGAACTCCACATCACATGATGTCTCCTCAACTACTGTGTCCACCTCCTCTCCAATGTAGTAATGAGTGAGCTCCTTCCTTTGTGCCACCTCAATAGGGAAAACCAATGTAGTACCAGACAGGTCATACCCTTCAGCCATCTCAGCTTCATCTTCCTTCTCTTTACAACACACCTCTGTAGAATTAGCTTCCACTACCCTACCTAAGTTAACATTGGAGTTGCAACCTTCCATCCCAGTGTGCTTCAAGCTAATAGACTCCTCTAGATTGACAAGATGATCTTCATAAACAAGGATTGGGTGTAATTTACCCTTGCATTCCAGGTTTATGGTTTTGTTGATGAGCACCATGCACAAAGTAACCACTTTGATTCTAGAATAGAAAAATGACTTTGGATGGCTAATATCACCCTCCAAGTTAAGGACTGACGTCCACAAGGCTCTAATTTTGTTTAGTGTGCTCCTATTCCAAAGGTTTAAAGGTATACTTTGACACCTCAACCACACACATCTCTCCTGCTTTATATGGACTCCTAGCTTCCATTCCAACACAAACTGACTCCAGTCTTGAAACAATTCCTTGATACTGTGTGTATTGGATTTCAACTCCTCCTGGGATTTGAAAGTCAAGACTACATCATGACCTCCCCCCTCTCTGACCTCAACTTGATCAAACCCATTCTCTTTTAGGGCCTTTTTGATGCTGCTAGTGGAGTAATCCGAACGTAGTCTGATAATTACACTTTCGTATAACCAACTATGACCATCTTCATTGACTTTGATGGTCATGTTTCCTATTCTAGCCGCAGTGATTGTGACCCCTTGAAGTACCTCTGCAAACGATCTATGGCCAATATATGGTGTTTTACCATTGCTTCTGTGTGGGTCAAAAGCCTCTCTGATGGTTTGGGGCTAACTCCTGTTGGGCACATCCCTGGAGCTCTTATCATTAATGGCATACTTCACTTCAAGTACCCTATCATCCACCAAAAGTCCATTTGCTTTCAGTATTGGGATATCTGAAGCTACGGGACAGTCGAATCTCATAAAACCAAATCTTAAGTTTGACATTTTCTGTCTTTTGAAAGGGATGAAGACATCTTTTACTATACCAAACTTTATGAAAAGTTTGAACAATGATTTAGCATCCATTGACCTTAGTAAATTGTCCACAAACACAGTAAATAGTCCATTCCTTGCTTCTTTTTCCCGTGCTCCGCCTCTTCTCCATTGATTCACCACCAGAATCTAACCACCATTTCTTCCTTGCTTCTCCACTCCTTGTTTGTCCGTTTTTTAGCCCACGCGTAACAATAATGGCTTTATAATTTTTCTGAGTATGTAACATTTCAAAAAATGAAAAAATACAAAAGCAAGACAACAGAAAACCCTAATAGACTCATTAATTTATTTACTCAAACTTCAAACCACCATGGATGAATTCTCCGACGAGATTAGATAATGGATCCGCCATTGTCATCACTCGATGAGGATTCTTCATATTCCAAGTACTTGCTCTTGTTGTTCTTCATCCAAACCTTGAAACTCCGAGGAGTGATTTCGATTGCCTCACAGAACTCTCCAAGATCATCCTTATCATATCCCTTAAGGCTCCACCCCAGCTCTATCGTTGTGTACTTCACCATCTCCACAATCTGCAAATCCGAAAACCTTGCCCTCCTCCTCTTCTTCTCTAGCGGCTCTTATTCCATCTCTCCGTTACCGAGGTTTTCCTCAGCTGCAGCCGTTGGTGGTGGTGGTGTAGCTTCGCGACAGCAGAAGCCACGCGCATCCAATGGAGGGCTCGGATGACGGCAGGGTCTAGTTGGACTTCCTCGACACGGTGCAAGCTCCGGTGGCAACCGCAGGCAGTACAATAGAAAGTCATTGGATGATAAGGCTCATACATGCCAATGTTGAGAAAGCGGTTACAGTCGTCAACGGCATTGTTCCTTTGGCATTCACGGTAATGAACAATGGTAGCACAACGGATACCACGGCGGCCATTGTTGTTTGCCATAGAGAGAAAGAGAGAGAGAGAGAGAGAGAGAGAGAGAGAGAGAGAGAGGGGGAGGGGGAAGAAAGGAGAAGTGAAAGTGAATGTTCTAATCTCGTAGGTTGAATTTATAGAAGGAACATGCTTGAGACCCTCAAAAACTATTCACAATGATGTAGCAGGATGTGTTAATTTTTGATTTATTACATACTTAATAATGGTGGGCCCAACTCTCATGGCACATCATTATGGATAAGTTTATAAGTATAAGTATGTGGGTCTCTAATATTACTTTTTATAGAAAAAATAACAGGGAAGGGAGATGGGAAATGAGAAGTTGTGAAAGTGAGTGGTTGTTTTAATCTTGTAGGTTGAATTTATTGAATGAGAAAGAGCCAAATGTTTGGGTCAATTTATTTTAATAATGCTATAATGATTGTATTTGTATTCTGTATTTGTCTACTATTAAATTAAAAAAATTAAGAACAAATATATGTGTTCATTATTTATGCCATATACTCTATGTGCAGTATCTATGCTATATGTATTATCTGTGTACTTTTAATTTTTTTTTAAATTAAAAATTGATATACACATATATCTATTTATTTTACAAATTAAAAATATGAAAACAAATTTATATTTCAATGCTAAATTTTTAATATATCATAACTTCTATTTTAATTTAATTTTGCCCTTTTTGCTTAGCAGGTGTAGATGATAAAATTGATAAGATTTTTTTATTGATAATTTACACGTATAATTGAACGAAAAAATTGAATAGCTCAAATCATTGAATTATGACTTTTGTGAGACTCACGAAACCCAATAGGACATCCAATTGAGACAATAAAATTGATAAGATTTTTTTATTGATAATTTATACGTATAATTGAACGAAAAAATTGAATAGTTCAAATCATTGAATTATGACTTTTGTGAGACTCACGAAACCCAATAGGACATCCAATTGAGACAAGAGATAATCCAAATCCCATTAATAAATGCAATGGGACCCACTTACATGAATCTACACGTGAAAAAAAAAAAGAAGGAAAATAAATTATATATAACATTTTTGTATTTTAATATAAAACTATAATCATTAT